TCTCCAAAAAAACACGGTTTTCCGCCAATGCAAAAACCACATTTTTAACACACACAATTTAAGCTAAAAATCCGAAACAAAAACAAAAAATTTAGATAGCAAAACAGTGAAGTTTCTAACCAAAATTATTTGACAAGAGTCCATGTACACAGCGATATGTTTTAACTTAAAAAAACATCTATGAATGGCACAATCTAAGCAACGAACAAATCTATGAACTACGCACACCTCGCTTTAATAAATTAATATAACAACAATAAATTTCAAAGAATACCATGTACACAGCATCCTGTTTAAACTTATAAAAACATCTACGAATTGCACAATTTAGGCAACAAACGAATCTACGAACTACGCACAACTCACTTTAATAAATTAATATAACAACAATAAATTTCGAAGAATACCATGTACACAGCATCCTGTTTCAACTTAAAAAAAATCTACGAATTGCAGAATTTAGGTAACAAACGAATCTACGAACTACGCACACCTTACTTTAATAAATTAACATAACCAGAATAAATTTCAAAGAATACCATGTACACAGCGTTCTGTTTCAACTTTAAGAAACATCTACGAATTGCACAATTTTAGACGGTACGCACTAATCAACAAAATAACTAAAATTTCAAACAATTCAAAAAAACAACAATAACGACAGAAATTCATACTAAAAAAAACAAGGAACATAACATTCTACAAAATAAGAACAAGAATAAAATAAAATGCACTTACCATTAATGCTTTATCGAACAGCAGAAATACCAATTTCATACCGCCTTTAACATCCCGCCACGTAATCACTATCGTATTTATATGACAGCCAGACACACTATCCAGAAAATTCATACTATGGTTCACAAATAAAGGAAATAACAAATAATCACAAATCCCTACTTCTATCACACACAGCCACTAAAAATAATCTCCCATACCCTCTTTCCACACCTCCAAATACCCATTGCCCCTCAATGATATTTCCTTTTGTCGAACTTCAATTCAAGAACTTTCACCATTATATCTTTCCCCCCTAGCTTCTCAGACACAAAGCATGACGCGAACCAACGAAAGATTTTTCAACGTCAACAGAGTTGCCATACAACACGCAATCGCGCCAAAAACCAGCGCAGAACACATATCGCCACATTTGGTGAAATTAGGGCATATATCAGAGTTGTATCATATAATTATACATAAATAGTGAATTTAGTTTTGTAAAGTATTTTAAACAAACGTAAACAATAAATCTCGATTTTATCCTTAGGAAAATGCATCCTAAAAAGAAATGTTTCAGCATTAAAGGAGTGGTAAAAGTATAGTTTAGGGTACCCTTGGCGATTTTTGGCGGTACATGGATACTGATTTTGTGCAATTCTTTGACTCGTTATTTTGGCTTGTGAAGTGGTGATGGCTGATCTTTGGAATATGGTAACTGGTACTTTGGCTACATTTTGGAGGCGATAAAGGTTACTATCTAGGACTTTGGGAATAATGTGAGCAGTACTCAGTTCCGATTACGCATTATTTTGTGTGCAGGGGAAATGAGAGATCATGAGATATGGTCATGTGATATTAATGGACAAATAAATTACAGTTCTTTAATTCGGAAAACGGGGAGGGGGTGGAATTTGGAAAAATATCTGTGGCAGTACTATATATTTTGCAGTATTAAGCTTCATTGTGTGTTGTGTGAAGTAGTGTTGAATTAATTTTTCGGATTGTATGGCGCTGTCTAAAGTGAATTCTAGATTTTTAATGCGCATTTATATGTGATAATTCAAAAGAATTGGTTGAATGGTATGTGCATGAGTGTAGGTTTAATTGCGGATAAGTATGAATGTCCAAAGTGTGGGAATGAAATGAGATTGTGTGAAAGGAAGGACATTACTGATAAGTTTGAATGGCGGTGCAAGAAATCTGGTGAAAATGGACATTTTCGTGAAACGAAGTGTAAGAAAGGGTACGTGGTTTGCTGAAAGTCGTTTGAGTATGGGTGAAATTTTATTGATTTCTTATTATTGGGTGAATAGATTACCAGTTGACTATTGGATTTCGGATTTAGAAATTAGCAGTAGTACTGCAGCTGATTGAAATTCTTTTTGTAGGGAAGTGTGCGTGGAATTTTGCGAAAATGATATGGGTATGCTTGGTGGTATGAATGTTATTATGGAAATTGATGAGAGTAAGTTTGGGAAGCGGAAGTATCAGAGAGGTAGGAGAGTGGAAGGAAAATGGGTGTTTGGTGGGATTGAAAGGGGTAGTAATAAGTGTTTTTTTAAGGTTGTGCGAGATAGAAGTAAAGATTGTTTATTAAGTTTTATTAAAGAATATATTCTAGCGGGTACTATAATTATTTCTGATTGCTGGAAATCGTATGAATGTTTGGAAGACGAAGGTTTTAAACATCTTGCTGTGAACCATAAAATTATTTTAAAGATCCGGAAACAGGTCCACATACCAATACAATAGAGGGCACGTGGAGTGCTATAAAAAGCGGCATTCCGAGGCATTGTGATAAAGAGAATTTTGCTTTTTATTTAGCGGAGGAAGTGTGGAGGAAAAATTCGCAGAAAAAATTGTTCAATAATTTTATTGAATCAATAATAAAAGTGTATTCACCATGTAAGCAAGATTCTGAAGAAGATTAGGTAAGTTAGTATTTTTAATTATTTGAGGATATTATTTTTATTCATTGTTCTAAATGTAAGGTGGAAGTAAAGTAATTTGGTATTATTGGAAAATTGTTATTAGCAATGATTTAGTTTAAAGTAATTAGGATTGTAAGCTAATTTTTATTAATTTAATGTATGTGCTTATTTATATTTTAAGTAGTGTTTTTGAATTTAATTATATTTTAATTAAATGATAGTTATTTTGTGTATATGTTTGTAGAATTTGGTATACGTTAGAGTGGAAGTAAACGTGCATGGAAATAATATAAATATTTGACACTAAGTATTTGTAACCATTTGTAATGTTTGCGGTATGAATTAGTTGGTGACGTGTCTAATATAATAGATAATGTAGAGGTAAAAGTTTTTGGATATTTTATTTATTTTATACGTGGAAATGTTCATATTTGGAAAGGGTATATACTTTTCGCAATCAGGTAATTTCATATATGTTCTTTTTACCGGGTTTAAAGATTCAGAAAATTGTCATGCATTTTCGTGAAATTTTCCTAATTTATAAGAAAAAAGCAGTGTACACGGATATAGTGAAGAGTGTGAGCAATGCCATTTTTGTGCAATTCTGGGATGTTTTTTTAAGTAAAAATAAGTCGACGTGTACATGGTTTATGTGTATGTGTTATTTTGAAAAATGCGCAAGGAGTTTGCTTTTGTGCACTTTTCCCAATTTTGCAGTGAATATTTGTCATGATTAAGCAATTTTGTTAGATAAAATTTCTAGCATAAGTGTAATTCGGCTAGTAGACTGTTGGAAAAAGTGTTCAGTAAATAAAAAGAAAAGAAACATATCTTTACTTCGTGAAGACAAAATGGCGGCGGAAAAAAAAAAAATAAAGGGTTGCTGTAGCAGAGTTGGTCGCCAAAAAATCGCCAGGTTACCATAATTCAAAGATCAACCGCCAAAAATCGCCGCTACACAAAGCCAAAATAATAAGACAAACAATTGCACAAACTCGGTATCCATGTACACATCGACATATTTTCACTTAAAAAAAAATTTCCCGAATTGCACAAAAATGGCATTGTGTACTCCTTTGACTTTATCCATGTACACGTCGACCTATTTTCACTTTAAAAAAAATCCCCGAATGGCACAAAAATGGCATTGCGTACTTAACTTTATCCATGTACACATCCACCTATTTTCACTTAAAAAAATCTCAGAATTGCACAAACTTTCATTGCGCACTCCCTTTACTTTGTCCATGTACACATCGATATATTTTCACTTCAAAAGTTAAAGGAGTACCAAATTCTACAATATAGGCAAACAAAAAATACATAATCAAATACATTTTAAACCAAACAATAAAATAACATAAAAAAGGAAAAACATGTTATACATTTAAGCACTACCAAAAGCAAATATTCACTTACCATGATTTTCGAATTCGCTTCGTACACCCAGAGCCACGTAAAAATCAAAATATTAATCATACTCAAATCATTTTTTTTCAAACCAGGTACTCTTTCTGATCAAACGCTTCACATAGTGACCCTCTGAACCTTTCTTCCTATAAACCCATCTAAACAGTTTTTACGTTCGACTAGACGCGTATCCTTTCTACATACAGGACACTTATAATGGCTACTAAGTAAACCTTCATTTACACACCAGTCAATTAAAGCTCTTTTCCTCTTTCGGTCCAAATCGCACAGAAACTTCACATTACAAATTAATCTTACTACATTCGCCCATTCTACTGCATAAAGAATTAAACCAACACACATCACAAAAACATCCCATGATTCAAAAATTTCTGAGAATCATGCACCCGATTACGTCACAATAGGGTTTCCATAACATTCAACTACTCAGGCTACCATAAATGAAACAACAACTTGGCGATAAATGCAACAGCTTCGCCATAATACAAGGGGTACCTTAAAGTCTACTCTACCCAAAGGAGTAAAAAGAGGGAAAGAAACAAATATTTGCAAACTAATACTTATTTGTCCTTTTAAAACAGCAGTGGGCCATTTAGTCATGTTACTGCATTTTTTAAGATAGTGCCCTTTCGATTTACATTTTATTATCCGACGATTTTTATCGAGGATTTAGACATTGTTTTACTTGTACTTCCACAAAGATCCCGATCAGTCTAGTCAATCACATTCAAAATTTGTAACAGTTAATTCATATTTTCACTTACCGTATCAGTCTTATATCAAGTATCAAATAACGTTAAATTAACCTCACTATGAGTAATACATTATTTAACATTTATTCCGAGTATTAAAAGGTAACATCTGACGTGGAAACTTAAAATATATTTTACCACAGAAAAACGAGTTAAAAATTCTCACCTGCCACGGAATTATTAAAAATTACACCCATATTATTGCACAATTTCTGTAACTCCGGAATACTCTGCAAGCACTTAACACTCAAATACCTCCTTTTTACCTTGTCAGAAACAGTTTTTGAATGATTTGGATAACAATTCCGAGTAGCTTTCATTCTTCGCTCAGTCCAGATGGGCTGCAAAACTCAATGCATTCAATTACTGATTTTACATGCAAACTCACACTGCAGGATGAATATAAACGCCCATCAGACTGTTGTTTGATAATATGAGATATATTTTTAAAATGATACAAATCATATTTGACAACACAAACACACACTAAAACATTAGAAGTTTGGCGGTTATTTGAAATACGATGCCATTACGAAAATCGGAACACACAATTTTCATTGTTGTTACGATATGATCATAAATGGTCTGACCCCGAGCAAAAACACGCATGCCTGGACCAGACCAATTCTAGCCCAGGGGTTATTAACCATGGCGGAACCCCCCTTTTATTTAGCAGTTAAGCGTTTAGTTTTAGTTTACGAATATAAAAAAAAAAAAAAAAAATATTTTAATCAAGTTTTAGTACATATCAACATTTTCTATACTTTTGTTTAATTTATAAAAATACTTATAAGTACATGTATATGAATTTTTTGAGTTTGAGAAAGGAGGGGAAGAATGATCATTTAGCAATGAGTACATGAGGCCATGGAGGTTAGAATAGGTCTTTCTAATCTCTATGCATGGTGAATCACTAATTTAGCCAAAGACTGGGACGGTTTAGTCAGGCAGTAATTTTTATTCTTAACATGCATTTTGGCTTTACAAAGGAAGCAAAATTACCCTTAAACAATTACACGAAAGATGACAGCAAATTTCAATATGGTAGATTGGAGACTGGATGCATTGAAACAGTTTTTTTGGTGTTTGTGAGCACGCGGGAGAGTGAGCAGGATGTCAAGGCCCATTTACACTAGCGGAACTTTGGTCCCAAGAAGCGTACGCTAACGTCCTAAGAAACGTAAACTATATGTCGAGTGTTTAATCTTCAAAGGGAGTAAACCCAAGAGATGGAAAATTTTAACTCCGAACCCATGCTATATGCGAAACACATTGCGGAAGATTTGACTACGTCTGACTGCAAATTAATTGCAGAAGTGCAACAACACCCGATTTTATGGGATAATAGAAAAAAAGAATATCGAATGAAAAGATGACAAGACGTTGCTTGACTACTGGTTGCCGAAAGACTAAACCGAGATGGTATGTATCCATTTATTTATTTTTTGCTCCTTTCGGATTGCAATACGCTCTCTTTTATTCTAGTTCTCTTTCGACTAACGCAATTGTTCAAGTATAAAATTTGCTGACATATATTAAATTAAAGCATTTTAGAACATTTCTGAAAATCTGAGTTTTATAAAATTTAAGTAAGCTCATTAGATGGATTTTTTTAAATTAAAGTTTATTAACTGCTTTAAACTGTATTTAAAGGTACACTGTTCTATGAAAATTATATGCAGCAGCAACCTTCAATTATATATATTTAAAATTTTTCCCAAATTATAGCAATTCAAGATGATTACATAATTTTTAGCTATTGTCTTTACATTAGTTTGCTCTTCTTTTTTGCAACATGTTACTAAAGGCTTATGAGAAGAAGAAAGTAAAAGTAGTAAGTGTGAAGATCAACAGTAGTAAAAATTTGATTAAAGTTTTCCTCCTCAATTTTCAGAAATACATTTTCTTCATTTCTCATGCAAATGTTTATTCCGAAATATATAAAAATCATAAATATCCATATATAAAATATTTCAAAATGTAAATTATCCTAAATATATATAATATACCATATATATAAATATAAAAATATATAAAATATATCTATATTTCATCTTTCATATATATCATTATATGATCCATATTTCATTTTCGTATGATATATTTTGATTCTCATATAATGAGTATAGTTGTTTGCATAAAATATTAATAATTAAACAGTAATTAATTACAGTGGTTGAATTAAAATTTCAGTCATATTTTTATTTCACAGTTGAAGAGGCTACTTACCGGTGGCAGAATCTGCGTAAGCAATATAGCCGAAGAAAAATAAAATGGAAAAGTGGAGCTAGTGCAGAGCAGCAATGGCATCTGATGCCCCAAATGTCATTTTTGGATCCATGTATCCGCCATCGAAGGTAAATATTCAGAACCAAATTATTTAGTTATGTTAAATATAAAATGATAAATTTTCATATTAACAAAATACAATCTTACTTGTTAGTAGTCTGTAATATTATAAAGCATAAATGGATTATTTGGAGTTATCCTAGGTTGACTAGCAATCAAAAATTGTAACTTTATTGATATAAATTTATTAAATATGTTAGATAGTCACATATGTGGATATAAACCAATTTACTTAAGAAATTCCTCCCTTTAGGCAGATAGACCTTGTATGGTTTGGCATAGCTCAAATTCTATCCAAATATTTACGTTCTGGAAAAGAAAAACTTCTCCAACACAATTTTTTTTTAATATTTATTGCCTCATCACTCATTATGAATGGTTTAACACCTTGTAAATGTGTTATTATTACACATTACAGTTTTATTCTAACCTGTTTGGGCCGACTGAAGTTCTTACCCTATTTCGTAGAAAATGTTGTAGAAACTTTGCTGTTCTGTACTTTAATCTTCCCAATTAAAAACAGGCCAATATTTTTGCAATGTAAACTTATTAACAAAGTACAGCATATGCATAATATAAACAAAGCACCTGCTCTTTCCTCTGAAAGCTGAGTTTCTAAATATTTTGATGAAGACTCGTCTGTATATTTTTTTTTTCTTTTTGTGGCCAATTTCTTTTTATAGTTTATCCCTCTATAGTTGATGCCCATATTTCTGTACTCACACAGCTCAAAACTGATGTGTTACTGACCATTTTGATGTTCAGAAGTTAGTGTTTGAGATTATGCATACCTGCTTTAATTTTATGAAGTTACTTTGCACTTAACACATAAAGCCTGGGATTAATTATCATAATATATACCATCAGATCAAGGAGTTGTGCTTAAATTATTACATTAATTCATAATGAAAATAAATACAAAAATATATATGAAACTGAATTAAAAAATGAAGTTGTAATACTTTATTACTGAATTAACTGTTAAAATCTTTCATGGCATGAAATTTTTCAAAACAGTCCCCAAAGTATAGTGATCTTTTTTTTATTTATAGAATGTGAAATGTGTAAGCCAAGATTAGATAAATTTGTCTTAAACTGTAAGATACAAAAAATTTGATAAAATTCTCTTGTGATTGTGTTTCTATAAAAAGAAAAAATAAGAGTTATTAGTGGCTCAATATTTTCATTTATTACGTAAGAGCATTCTATGCATATTCAAAATTTCTACAATGAAGGCAAGAGATTCTTATTTTTCATCTAAAATATTGATTTATTTACAATTACTATATGAAGGTATTTAAAGTCATCTCTATTTAGAGCATACTACATTATTGTTACTGTCAAAAGCACTACTGTCATCACAACTGTTAAATGCAGCCTCCAGTAGTAATATTTGCATCCATGTTATTTAACTCGTAATCCCGCTCATCTTCACTACTATAAATTTGATTTTCTATGTCATTAATATAAATAAATGTTACATTATAAATAACATTTATTTGGATTAATGAGAAGGATGAAATTGTTTGTGCTGAGATGACAGATTGTCATAATTTTGTTCCCTGGTTGTTAATTTTAATCTGAGATACAGTTCCACGTCCAATAATCTGTTCCATATTTTCGACTTAATGTCTATCCTATGTTTCCTGCTCCGCCAAAATCCTGATAAGAATAAATTATTTAAAGCATAGCTATTGACGGGCTTTTCACCCAACATTATTAATCAAGCAGTTAACAATTTTTCATTGGAACACACTAAAAGCCACACTCTTGTTTTAGGAGATTATAAAAATTCTGTTATTATTCCCTTCTTTACGCCAATTAGCTATAAAGTTCCACATATTTTGCAGAAATTTAACTTTCGGGTCGTTTATTCCCCCATCAATAAAATTCTGAGTTCCATACACAAGGACCTCCATTCCGGATATGAATTCCTGGGGTATTTATAGGATTTCTTGCCAGTGTGGTTTAATTTACATTGGCCAAACTAAGAGAGCGTTAAAATTTCGCGTCAAGGAACATGAGGCATATGTTAGAAAAAAGTAAACACAGAAGTCTTCTGTTGCCCAACTTTGTTGGTCCGAAAATCACACTTTCAATTATTCTGCTGCCAAAATTATTCAAAAAAACAACTTCCATTGGAGAACTGGATTTTCACGAGGCATTTCACATTCAAAAAAATCTTTCTGTTCTAGTTAACGATCCTAATTCCAATCCATCTTTGGCTTCGGCCTTTAAAGAAATTATGTTTTAGTTCTGGTTTCATCAACAGATGGCGCCACTTGCTTATTTTCGGTCCAGGCTTTGTTATCTTATCTGATCATTATTTCCTGCCTCGTTCATTTGCGCTTTTGCAGCTGAGGATGGTGGTTCGGTAAAACCATCGAAACTAGTCCTGTGAAAATTTGAAAATATAACGCTGATTGTTGTTGTTTGACTCCTGAATTAGTATTTGTAATGCGTGTTATTGTGTCTTAATTATTATTATATTGTGCTTATTTAATTTTCATAAATTCACTTTTTAACTCACTGAAGTTTAGTTCAATACTTAAATAAGATGGCTCAAGTAAAAAGACTGTGTCTAATGAGTTAAATGCCTTTGCAAAAGACTTTCAGAATAAAACTGATTTACATTATGCATATATAAAATCTCATTAAATCGCAAAATACAACCACCAGCTACCAAGCAGCAGCATCACAGAAAGTACTTTTACATTATGTAGGTGCCATAAAAAATTGCTAAATGTGTAATAACATGCTTAAGATAACAACAGTGTGATCAGCTGAGCCATCTGTGTTATCGGTTAATGAGTATCTTTTGTGAGTAACTGTGATGTATAGTTGTTAACATGGAACAATTATATGCAAGCGGCTTGCCTCCAAGCCTTGTTATATAGACCTGATGGGTATATATATATGATAAATTGGTGGAAACGACAGAATACCAGAGGGTTAAGGTAAGTTTTTTATGATAAGAAAGAACATTGGATGTGTTTTTCCTCCACAGTGAGTTTTGAAGGCCTTGTAGAAAAACAAAAGATGTTTTCTTGTAGCCATTCCGGATTGCTCGGCTAAAGCTTTACTATATTGTTTCTTTTTTTTTCTTTGCGGCACAGCAAAACAATAAAATGTGCAGTGAATTGCAAGTGATGGATGGTGATGTATTTTAGCATTTCTGTGTGATATTACAGATAAACTTAACTCGCTCAATTGGGATTTACAAGGTGACAATACAATAATTTCACATATGGCAAATAAAATAT